TAACCCCCAGTGGTGTGTTCACCCGACACGACGAATTCCCCGCGGGACAGGATGAACTAACACATGCTGTTCACGGTGAGACCCAACGTTTCATTGCCGCGTCAAACGGATGGCATCCCCGTATCTAAAGGAGGCAGAAGCCCCCCCCGCGTGTTTTTTCACCCTCAAAGATCAGGACACGAAGTGTGGCCAATTTATATCAATGGGGAGACGGTCGCACTCGCGTGTATGCAATTTTGGCAAAAGTTGAAAGGACCCCCCCCCCCCCCGCTCCCAGAAGGACTCTTTTAAAAGAGGCCCTTTTGTAAATTTTAATAAATTTTACTTTTTTTGGGGAGGGGTTAGGGAATTTGTCCCGGCCCTTTTTTTTGTATGTGGACAGACCCGGAGGGGGGGGGGGGGGGGGGGTGTATCCCCATTCCCTTTATTCAGAGGCGTTGCAGAGTGTGGCAATTAAGATGTGTGGACTCTTTTATTAGCCTGATTTTCTTTTCATGTCACCCTGCTCATTCATCTTTGGATGAGCGTATTCTGACAGTTGTTAGTTAGCGTATTCAGCAGCAAATAGCCAATCAGGGTAGAAGAATTTGCTCTATTAAAAAAAAAAAAAGAACTGGCAACCCAAAGACGTGTTTGCTGTTGATCTGCAGCAGTTGATTAAAGGCAGACAAAGGAGGGCTGCAGAATATAATCACTCTATGCTCAATGGGCTATTTTGCACTTTGCTTCAGTAGCTGCATACAAGTTCACAATGTGAGGGGGGTGCACCCATATTCTGTCTCATCTCTTGTAGCGCCATTTAAATTAACATCATGTATAAATGTTATTTTGAAACTGTTTCCTGGAGCCAAAATAAACTGGATTTTAGAGGAAAATGTCAATATTTGAAAAGTATTTCATTATATACTGCTATATAAAATACCTTTCCTAGATATGATACATCACATTACATATATATTAGTTTTCAGCCAGTGCGACCTGAATCCCGGAGAAAAAGAAAGCGAGAAAAATGAACCCATTTATTAAAATGAGGCTTGTTAGCCGGGCTTACAGAGGATAGCACAGTAGAAGAAACTAACACTAGAAGGCATTCCGGCTAAAAGTGTCTGTTCTTGGTACTCAAGGGACGCAGCCTGTGTGACTCTTGTTCTATATTTGAAGCCAGTGTGGAGCAGCATGTTCATTTCTATTTTCTTGTGCTAAGATGAGACGAGGTGTGTGTGTGCAAAAATATCCCAAAAGAAACATCTTTCTTTTGGGATATTTATTCATCTGTTTCTAGATCTCTCCTCCTCAATGTCCTCCCCTCTGTCCACGGTTGCGTCGTGCATGTGACCCCCTATAATTCTCTTCCCTCCTACAGGGATAAAACGATTAGAGCTGGCGGGAGATGCAAGGGGGAAAAAAGTGGTCGGCTATTGGTGAGAAGGAACAAGGTTGGAGGGTGTAAAGCTGTTGATAAGCATTCTATAATTGAAAATGAAATCTAAAATCAGTATAGTCGCTGTGTATCTTAAAAGCAAGGTGCATGTCATCGACATGACAGTAAAGTATCGACAACACGGGAGAAGAGCAGAATAGGGGCATAGGAGAGAAGGAAGCAGGGGGGAGGTGAGGGGGGAGATCCGGGGAGAAGGCACTCTGATGGAATTAAAGTGTCTTGGCTGAGGGGTTGCACCATGCCACAATCCCCAAGTCTACAAATGCATAAGGTTTATGAGTTTATGAATAGAGGATTCAAGCACTATTAGAGGTGCCAATGTCGCTGGAGGACATGCAGGTTATTTACGTGGAAGGTAAGTACAGCTAGTTCACTCAGAAATGCTCCAAAACGGTGGGTCATGCTTCCTCTCTCCCTAAGGAGGAAATTCCAATTCCATCATTCCATGAACATAAGATTTATGCAACTGACACTTTTCACAGTTCCTCCTGGCACAATGAGGGGAATAAAAAACCAATCTATAACTGATCATCTATATATATAGCTTTATATTATAAGATACATGCACGGTGCAGTCTATGCGCATTTCAATGTTTGATAGGAGTAACTGACTAATCTGAAAACTTCTGCAAATAATATGACAGCAGAATAGACACTATGAGCCATGTGATCAAAGATATTGAAACCGGAAAAAAACTAAACATTAAACATACAGACCGCTGCAGGCTGAATACCACTTCATGTCGGCTGTTTAATTCAACATGTTATTGTTCTCCTGGAAAAGGGAACACAGTCGCCTGAGCCCTGCCAAGTGCCAAGAAACTGTGGAATAATTCATGGAAATGCCCCGTTTGTTGTGCACATGTCTGATTGTGGTCCCGGAGTGAGGCTGTCTTTGCAGTTCGAGGCTGCAGATGGAAGTCACCGCGAAGGAAAAGGTCGTCGGTACGGTGCTGCCAACTCTCACGACGAAAGATCTGCATTGTCATGTGAATCAATGTTATTGTTGCTGTGACAACAATTAAGAGATATTACCAGACTAATGCTCAATTTGCAAATCTGAGTAATCCATGTCGTCAAATAGCGATTATGGAAAAGCATCCAATGTCAATTTGACTGGAATAAATTCATTTTTTTTGCAGTTGCCCATCTGGCAGCATGCTTCATTTACAGATGTTTCCACAGTTGAAAATTGTTTTAAGTAAACTCTCTCCGCATCATTTCGCTATAATTTCTGGTGGTTAAATATGGCAATCCACCATTCACATTCGTCATTCACCGTACTGACTGCTTTTCATCACTCGTGCAGTAATGTCCACTAACTAGTTGATCTAATTGACAAATCTGTTCAACTTCCTCCACACAGAAGCCCACAAAATAACCACTTTAAATCTCCGAGCGATTTTCCTCTTGTTTGACAGCACGAATGTAGCCTCCCTCAGCCTTTGTGTCAGATTCGACTAGACGAGGCAGGAAAGCCTCCGGTGACCTTCGACCTTTTACTTTGATCATGACGCCTCCTTCCAATGAGTCAGGTACAAAAGTAACGACGCTGTGAGTACACGTAGTGTTACCACAAGCGTACTTGTTCGCTCGAAAGGAGATAAATTTTACAAATGTTAATCCATAGGATTGGCATTTAAAATATTTAATCATAGGTGAGAGTATGTCGCTTTTGAATTTTAAACACAACAGCTCGCCTTTCCAGGACTTTGATGTGGGAATCCTCACTTCAGAGAAATGAGATTTCTGCCATCAAAGGACATGAAGTGTGCATGTTGTCCATCAGGTAGCGGTGTGTAATTCTGACCCGTTGCCTTTGTTATTATGAGACCACGCGTACCTGTCTCTGAATACGAGGATCGACGCCTGCCTTTGTGCCGTAACTGCAACTAACTGCTCAAAATGGTCTCAATCACATTCTCAGCGGGGGTGGGATGGGATGGGATGGGGGTGCAACACTCACACGCACACACACACACACACACACTTCTGTCCTCTAACGGAAAAGAAGCTTGCTTTGGTCTCTATCTGCCTCTCTTTTCATCTCCTGTGTGATTTGAAACACCCTTTCACGCCTCCAGCGCTAATGCTCTGGATGGGATCCATTGTTAATGTTCCAGCGTTACGAGTTCCTTTTGTGTGTGTGTGTCCCCCTCCGCAACCGGAGGACTGAAAGGCAGGACAGGGTGCCAGAGGTGGGATCTCTTTTTATTGGTGTGTTTTTAATTTAGTAATTACGGAAATAATGTTTCTTTGTTTTGGCCTTTCTCTGCTGAGAGTCCAGTTCATAATTAATTGGTAGCATTAATTGGCTTGTTTTATTGGCTGAGGCTCGGTTGGGGGGCAGCGGGCGGGTACAGCGTCTGAATCAGATCTGATTTAATTAAGGCGCTCTGACCAGGGACCACTGCTACATGAAGTGGGTTGTTGTTGGGAATTCAACAGCATGTGTGCACACAAACCCGAACGCACACTGCCGAAGACTCCCGGAGGCCTTGGAGGTCAGCGTGCTGTTTGGGAGAACACAAAAACAAGCCTAAGGAAAATGTCTCCTCTGATGAAGCGTCTCTGCGTTGTCCAGAAAAGGCTCGGTCAAATACGAAGCTTCGATATTTTCTCCAACCCTCTGGGGTCCTTAAAAGAAGTTCAACATTTTATCAATTATTGAAAGAGATGAACTTGGCATGGAAATTGGAAACAGGCGAGAACCAGCCTTGATTATCCCAACTGGCTGTGAGACATTTAGTCCTCATAAAGAATTATTAAGCCCCTCTTTTCATTCACTTCCTCCGTGGTAAAGAGTGAGGTCTCCACTTGTGAGGACGCGCCTCGCTCTCTCGGTCCAGGGTTTCCCCCCCCCCACCCACCCCATGCTTATTATGTAGCACTCTCATCTCCAAGAGAGGCTGCCTCCATTGAATCCCACAGAACACATTTCAGAATGAACCTGAATGCGCACCACTTTAAATTCATGCCCGTCTTCTCACTCCTTTCTCCACCACTCATCCTGCTCCACCCTCAGCCGCCTCTTCCCTCAAATTGTTTTTCCTCCCCGTCCTTTATTTCCTCCACGGGTCTCTTTGTCTCTCCTGCCGCCACTCGTCCTCCCGTCTTCTCCCAACCTCCGTCATCATCAATTTGCTCTTCATTCTCCTGCCCTCTCCCACCCCCACCCCCCACCTGCTCCCCCACACCTCCACAGAAGCCCCGGGGCAGGACTTTGTGACACTGGACTATCGCATGCGCTACCACCCGAGCATCACCTACGCCGTCATCGGCAGTGCCGTTATCTTCGTCCTGGTGGTGGCGTTGCTGGCGCTGGTGCTCCATCACCAGAGGAAGCGGAGCGTCCTGCTGCCCAGAGGTGTAAGAGGAAGCACGCACCACCACCACCCACCACCACCAGCCCCTGCTGCTCTCCCGTCTGGTCATTTTGGACCGGGGCCACGGCCACGCCGGCGGTCCCGGTCTCTCCCCCGGGTCGCCCAGCGGGGGGGTCCAGTACAACTCAACTCCCTCAAACACTGCAGCTGCTCTCTGGGAGCCTTTATCCCTCCGGACTCTCCGTGGACTCCCCTCCGTCATACGCACAAGCTGTTCTGGATGTCAGGTGAGGGCGATGAACACTCCAGCAGCTCAATGGAAGTTTATAATATGTGACCGTATCCCAAAGGCTAGCGTTGCACCGTAAGCCGCAATTAAAATAGCATGAAAGCATTAACGCAGAAGTAGTGGTGTTAAACGTCCCTGGCAGCGTCTAATTCAACGTAATCAATAATTATTCCCTTGAAGTTCATCCACATGGAATAAAATGAGTTGACAGCTGCCTTTGTGTTTCTCAAACAATTAACCCCTTTACTCAGCTAGTTACTCATTTACTGTTATTTTATTCATTTAATTGTATAAAATGAATGATTTCTAGCAGATTTGTGCAATTCTAAATTATTTAAGTTAACCAAAATTGAGTAAACATCAATTATATTATGATTTAATCAATCAAATTTTCTCCTATTTGCTTCCCAGTAATTAAGTGTAGTTAAGTGCATCTCAAATCTTCCAGCGTGATGCTGGTTCAAAGCCTGACATCACATTAGTATCTGTTTCTTCTGTTCTTTTACCCCTAGTCGGCCTCCCTGGTTTGATCTCCCTCCTCCTCCATACCTCTCCGACGCGGAGCTTCCATCAGAGGGCGAGCTCCCTCAATATGAGGGCCCACAAGACCCTTTGAGCTACACCAGAGCGCAACCCGCAGCCCCCTCCACACCCAGAACTGAAGCCTCGGCCCCGGAGCAGAGCTCCAGCTGCAGGGACGAGTCGGACCAGCTGTAGCGTCGCTCTGTCAGAAAGAGACTGAAGGACTGAAGGACCAGGCTACAGGGCCACGAGGCCACGAGGCCAGGACAGCCCGCAGAAAAGACCTGACAAAGCCACCAGGACTAAGAAAACTATCTCTGATAGTGTCCTTCGCTGCTCCAGCTCATCGTGCTGGACTGATCTTCTGCGTTGGCTCCCCCTTGTGGGGGCTCGGCTGCACTGCATCAACATTAGTTCGACATTGAGTCGATGCTTCCTATTTGACATCTATGGTGTTTTCCATCGTGGGATGTTGGTTGCGTTCATAATTAGGTCTAAAAATGATGTACTGTTGAGAAATACGGGCTATATTTGATGATTTTCAATCATTTAGCGACATGTTGAAGCCTTGTTCTTATAAAAGTTGATTCCATGGTCAGAGTAAATCTAAAGCAATCGAATGCAGTAGTGTGTTTTGATTTCTCATTTCTCAACAGTTAGAATCTTTTTTTTTCCAGTGTTGATGTGAACAGCGACCCGATAATATTGCTACAGTGGACTTGTAGTAAACAAATAGTTACTTAGTTTTTTCAAAGTTATTTTGAAAGATATAAGAAATATTTCTAGATGAGAAGTGGAAGTCTTTTTTATAAAAAAAACTACAAATTCAGCAATTCTGTACGCCATTAATGTTGAAATAATGTAGAAATTATGTGTATATGTATGTGTATATATACATAGATATCTGTATATATATAGTAAGTTACATCATTCCTCTGAGCAGAGATTCACGTGTCTTTTTCAGCACTAGCTAGCTATTCCATTTCAGTTTGAAGACCAATTATGTTTTTATGGAGACACAAAAACAAATGTAAAAACTATTTTGTTGATTGGTTTATTGTGAGCCATTTTGGCCCCATCGTCACTTTGTATGGGATTTCTTTTGGGGCACAGATTTCGAACATTTAAAGACAGTAGCATGGTAAGCTCACATGACAACATTCATTTTAAGAATATCGTCTCTTTAATAAGGTGAATTTTGCTCTTTTTTTTATGTCAATGAGTCATTTTGGTAAATCATCTTGTCTGATGACGGTATTAGACAATGACCATCAAAGCATATCTGAAGGATCTGTGTTTATAAATCTGATGTCATCTTCAAACCTTTTTGAGTGTTCAACACTGTAAACAGGAGGTGAGAGAAGTATAAAAATCTATTTAAAAGTCTTTACAGTGAGACACGTGTAATGTCCCCTTGTTTCGGATCTTTCTGTTCCTTCAGAGCCAGATGTAAATAATAAACCAAAAGCTAATCATCATTATTAACATTCACATGGTACCCTCCAAAGGAACCATCATGCGTCCCACCAACTGCCTGTATCTTTATTAAATTAAAATGCATGTCATCTGATGTAGTACTGGAAGCATTTCTCAGGACAACGTTTATTTTGTTCCGTTTTTCATATAAAGATATTGTCTTGTTTTGTCTAGTTTTGTTTTAGAGGACGTTGAAGAAAAAATCCTTCTTTCTGAATTTATATCATGCGGTCGGCTTTTTTCACATTTGTTCACCCATCATGATCTTTTCATCCCTGATTTTCTGTATATTGAAGTAATATAAAATGCTGATTTGTGTCTTTTGTGAATTAGTCTCCCTGCACAGCTAGTATTACATTCTGCCGACGACTAGATGTTTATAGCACAGTCTGAAGCTTTAACGCCAGTCTGTGCCACCGGCAGGCGAGCCTCACACTAATAAAGATGAAGCAAGTTTGCAGACGACAGGACAGTCTAAAAATAGTAATCAGAGTACTCTAATGACATATGACAGTGCCAACAAACCAATCACTGCGCCACGGCCTCTCTGCACATCTGCACTTGCGATGTAATATACAGTCTTCGTGGGGTTCCAACAAGCGGCGTCTGGCAAAACGGATTGCCTCCTCAGCAGCTTTTATCTGGAACAAAGAGTTTGGATCACGTGTCGATGTGTTTTATTGGAGCTCTGTGCTCAAGAAAGTGCTGAAGGAGCAGCTGGAGAAGCGCAGGGAGGAAGATCAGAAGCAGCTCAGACATATTATTGTCTCTCCGAGGTGAGGTCCAAGGTAAGCAGGGGATTCCGGAGGAACTCATCTCGGAACTTATTAAAAAATATAGTAAACAGTATTGCATGAATACATTTTTTTGTATAGTAACAATGTCGTGAAATGGTCGTAAAAGATATGAAATAAAACTCCTAGCGAGAGTTTTATCAAATTGTATAAGATTTTAGTATAGTTGGGTTCACTCATTTCAGGAACGGTCAAAACCTGGCGAATCAGCCTGCGAAGCAAATAAACCGGGCGGGCAGGGTCGGAACAGGCCGATGAGGAGGGATGCTGAGCGGACGTTAACAGTGAGTGACTAATGACGGAATGGCTGCAGGAGAGGGATATGAATGCTGATGGGAGCGAGAAGCGGAATCTAAAGTGACAGGAGAGGTCACGAAAGTAGAGAACAGGAACGAGTATTAAGTGCTACTTTACAGGGCGTGATGATACCAATGAATCAGATTTTAACAGTATTTGACACTGTGAGGCCTTCAACCCATTAAATGCCCTAAATGCGTTTTCCACTTCCCAAAAACAGTTTGAATTAGGAGTCAAAAATAAGCTCTTGCTTGAGTCCCATCAGGTATCCATCAGGCAGATGAAAAAAGAAAAAGTCCTGCATCTCTATATTTACACCAGGAGAGGTCACCATGGCACCATAATGGACTAAACCTTGACCTGAATGTTCATTTTTCAAAACGGAATAATTTGTGTGCACTTCAGTGAAATCTAAAGAGTCAGATTAAGTTTTTATGGTAAAAAAAAAAAAGATGAAGGTTTGAACAAAGTGCACGATTTGCATACATTCTAGATTCATGGCAACTATCCACATCTCTCATGACAACTAGTTCACTGAATACATGAATATTATGAATACTATCTCACCAGTCACCCCCCTATTTTCATTGTAATGCAACCCGAAACCTGCCACCTCTTCATGCCCCCCCAATCCAATATCCGCATTACATTATGACATATCAGATAAAATGCAATATCATTTCTGACAACGCACCCGTCTCCCCTCCATCCCACCGTCCTGCTCATCCTTTATGTTTCAGCTATCGTAAAACTTCAGCAATTTTAACTCCCCCCCCCTTTGTCCTCTCTTTCAGTGTTGGGAGCGTTTCTGTCATCACCCCTACTCTCCCTTTTCTCATCTCAAACTCCGATGCCGGAGGCCCCTGTTTGCTCAGCCCGAGTCCTTAACAACACAGACTTTAATTAAAAGCTTGCACACTTCTATTTTGCCGTCTGCCCTTCGATTTACGGCGGGCAGCTGGTGAATCGCCATAAAGGATTGTTTTGTTTTTTACGTATGCTGTAAAATATTTTGTCGCTGGACCTTCGAGTTATGATCCAAACAAATGATGAGAAGTATAGTGGCCAATGATGAAGTAGGGAGCAAACAAAGACGAGAAGGAAAAGGAGTGAAAGTTGGCTGTTATGAGAGTAGTGAGGAAATCGTAGCACTTACATTGTACTTTTAATGGCTCTTATCTATAGCAAGTTGTAAATCAGCGTATTTGATTGCACTTCTGGGTTTGTATCCTTATGGTTGAAATGCACTTACTGTGAGTCGCTTCGGATTTTAAAAAAAAAAAACGACATGTAAAAAGTGGTGATGTTGGTGTTTATGTGGGACTATTGTTACCGGCATCATGGTGACTATTAGTCCTTTTCATTTCATTTGTCATTACTAGCTGAGAGCTTTTGAATATATAACTGGATTATTTCCACTGTCAATAACACTTGAATTCCTCCAACTGGTGCTGACTGCTGAATAACAACCTTGAGGTTACTTAACGGCCTAATATGCTCATGTATTTTTCAGATAATAACAGTCCATCCATGAAGGGTTGTAAATATAAATGCAGCCACATACACTTGTGCTCACACATAAACGACCATTTTCTCTCCCTCTCTCTGTCTGTCTCTCGGCCGGGGTGCCATAACTCCAGTGGACTGCAGATAAGACCCCGTGTTTTCACATGTAAATGGTGTGAGCGTGGAGGGGAAGGAGGGGCGTATTGTTAGCATGGAGAAGCTCTGAGGGGCTCTGCCGAGGGTTTGGCCGGCGCGACCCTTATCAGATGAAGAGCAGGCCTCCGAGGGAAGGAGGGGTCGGTGAAGGGACCGGGGGCCGGGCGGGGTTGAGGTGGCGGGGGGGGCACCACCAGGAGAATAGAACAGCTGGCGGAGTCACGCGTGCAACCTCAAAAACACACAGAGCCCCCCCCCCGACACGCTGAGCGCGGTGGGAATCTCCTCAGCCAGGAGATCCTCAAACACACGGCCTCTTGTGTCATTATCAGCCACCAGCCAGCAAGCCTGAGAACATAATCACACACACACACATGCAGCACAGAGAAAACCAGCATTTCACACAATCGCGGACACACACAGACACAATCGTTCAGGACAATCGCAGAGATTCACAAATACACATTTCCATACAGGCGTCATAACGCAGCGAGAGCAAATGAAAGGCCACGGTCGCCCTAAAACACTCTGCACACATTGAATTAAGTTGGCTAATACATCATAACTAATTTCAGCAACCACCTGCTTTCACCTTCATTGTGTAGCTTGTGGCACGATTACCGGAATGGATGGATTCATACCATTCGGTGAATGGAATAAAGGCCCCAAACACCCCGATTCTGCAAATCTGACCACAAACAAAATGTGTCGATTGAATCGGTGGATGTCTGATAACAACTTAAAGACGGAAAGAAAAGTTTTGATCGATGACTCGTTGCATCGTCCCACGTTGGCTGTAATAATCTCAGTAAACGTTCCAGAAATGAGAATTCCTCTGATGTGCACCTAAAGTTAAAGCGGCATCAGCAGCTGAAACAGTAACACTTCCCTGCTTAAGAATAGACCAGGGTGCCGGCTCTTGCCCTTTCCATTCAGGCCAGTGTTAAACACACCGACCAGCATGCTAATGGGTAATCCCTGAGGACCGAGCACCTTTGTCCCAGCCTTAAGAGGATGTCTCTTTCTGGGCGCTGGGTGTGACAGCCACCAGGCTGCCGGCTACTGGACAACCAGCATGATGCCAGATACTGATCTCAGTTCTGCAGAGGGATGCCAGCAGGTCGCCAGGCCCTGATTGCTATCCTGCGGGCAGAAGATTGGCGTCTGCCCTTGTTTTCCCTTTTTTCTGCGTTTCCTTCCTGTGATGCAGGAGGAGGTTTGCTTTTCTTGATGAGAGCAGTGTGAAAGTGTGGCGTAAGTGCATTCTGTCATGCAGCAGGTGGTCTGTGTGCGTCCACAAAGACCTCCGGCTAATCTGATAGGGTACAGTGGGAGTGGTATGAGGTCGCTGCCTTTGTCTTTGATCCAACAACCTCATACTCAACACGTTAAAAGCCCCATTCAGTGAGACAGCGTTTCAAACACGCTTTGAAAACAAATAATTGGTTATCTGGATGGAGCAGCATCAACACAATTATCATTCTGTAATTCGTGAAATGGGTATTTTATATGAAATGTATTTAAGCCAGTACTGAGCAAATGACAAGAAATTTGAATGCTGTCAGGCAGTTGAATGGGGATTGGATTTTATGCAAATTGCTGAAAGGTGTTCCTGTGGTTGTGAACAGTTGATGATTATCTATGGACTACAGCATTCCACATTGCAAGGTGGACACTGGGAGACGGAGGAGAGTCGAGTAGGAGGAAGGACATTGATTTGCTGAGGGGACATTCCAGAGTGCAAGGTGCAGTAAGGAGGACAAATGAGGAGGGTTCTCCTTCGGGAATAATAGAATTCCTAATTCCTTATGGTGAGATAAAATAATAATACGATTTTCTTTAGGTTACGCAAGCACAGGAGACCAAATCGATGATCACCCCGTGTGTGGTATTATATGCTGTCGCCACATGATGATTATTTTAAACAATTTATCTAGTCCTGGTTTGTAGTGTCCATGATGAAATATCGTGTCCTCCTCCTAACTCTGTACCCTCATCTGTCTTTTCACCCCCAGAGAACTGAGCTCCACATATTTCAGCAGCACCCAAGAACACACGCACACACACACACACACACACACACACACACACACACACACACACACACACACACACACACACACACACTCTCTACTCTTTCCTAACAAAATACCATCAACTGGCTTCTCAATTTGCAGTTATTTTATTCTGTATTCAAATATATATCATGAGAATATTTAATATTTAGGTTCATCCTATATAACAGCTGCCTGTATTAATCAACTTAAGGGGGGGTCTGCTTGTGGACGACTTTTCTTGCGGCTTCTTCGGGTGAGCTGGATTCCCACAATGCTAGAAAGTTCCTATTCCTTTGAGCATGTAGCCACAGCCTAAAGTAACGGCTCATTTCCGTATTTCCTCACCCGTAGATTCAGCTTGCACCGCGACACACTCCGTCTCACCAAGGCTTGCATCCTCCCCCCCATTTCCATGAAACACGTAACATAGAGACCATAACCCCCCCGGGCAGGGTCTGTGCACCACCCAGGTTCACCCCATGCCACGCACGTTCCTCTCAGACAGGG